TAATATCATTTACGATATTATTTAAAAACAAAAAAAAAGAGAAGAGTTTACACCAGGCAAGAACTGCAGGAAGTGAGAAATCTCGATTTCAGGTTATATATATTACTTCGAATTGTACTATATTATATTAATCTGTAATTTCCTCTTTAAATTGTTAATTTTTGTCATATTGTTTTATAATTAATTTTGTTTATGTTATTTTTTTTGTGTTTTCTTTTTCTGTTATCTCAATTGTTATTATTAATATAAGCACATGGCGTTGTCGCACTGCTTGGCTGGTTATCAATAAATAAATAAATAAATAAATAAACTACTGAATGTTAAGTACTTAAATGTGTTTTTTTTAAAACACCGTTGGCATAAAATGACAGAATTATTCGGTATTCCATTGACGGTATAGGCAATCATGTGAAAGTTCGTTCACTAGGCAGAGATTATATTTAAACAGAATAACTTCCGAATTTCAAATTTCGATTGATTACGAATTAGAACGATTAATAACGCGCGTTGAATAACTATTGCATTGAATATTGCATTAGATCGGCAATTTGTTGATTATTTTTTGATGATCAGATTATTTAGTTACAAGTTCTTGTAAAGTTCTCACTTGGACTTCGGTTATAGATTGATTACTTATTAGTGGTTAATGGCATGCACTGAATATGAGATAGAATGGCTCAGTGGGTTGTTCCTCGATTGGGAGCGCCGATGCCGAGGTTCGATTCCCCGCAGGGGTTAATCTGTGCGAAAATCCGGGTAATACTGGCTCACCTGTATCTCTATCGCCAAGGGATTGCCTGGCGAATATTGCCCAATGTGAGAAGGCAGTGGAGTGAGTTTAACCAGTAATGATGGGAACCTTTTAACCAGTAGGGCATGCATTGGATAACTGATGTCGCGTTCGGTTGGGTTTGTTGAATATAGTTCCATTATGGTAACATAATATTCCATTATAATATTCAACAGCTAAAATTTCTTTTTTCTATGCCTATTATAAAAGGCTAGGAAAGAAATTTGGAACATTACGACTCTTCAAATTATTTTGACACTTCGAAAATCACCATTGAGTACCGTAGCACTTCCGGCAAAACAAACAGATTCCTACGAACATATAGTTAATTTCTCAACGAATAGAAATTTAATAGAAATTTACCAAAAAAATTCCAAATTTTTTGAATACTCAAAATTTCTTTTAAATTTCTACTTCAAATTTTTTTCTATTTTCCTGCAAAAAATCGTTTTTCAATTTCCTTCATGGGACACTGGAGAACTTTTCAGTCAAAATATTTTATTAAGAATTCTTTAAGAATAACGATCTATCGCCAATTTCGCCAATTTAAATGAAGCGAAAATGAGTCGAAATTAATAAAAATTTTCGATCTTTTGGCTGCTCAAATTTTCTTTTAAACGTTTAACTTCATTAATTGATCACTTCCACTAAAAAATATTTTTAGAAATCGTCGAAGGATTCGGATGATTCAAATAATGCGATCGATGCCATATTGCAAAGAATTTTATTTAAATATTTAAATAATGAAATAATTTTTATAATTTTTTTCATTAAAATAAAAAGCTATAAATCAAATTTTATAGAAAAAATTTCGCCGCTTGAATACATTTTTTTACGACTAACAATGGCCACAAGTTGAACGGCATTTACTTCTCATTACAGTTGCATAAGGTTCTATTGTGCAGTATTTTCTATTTTCTGAACATTGCCCGTCGTCGTCGCGACAATTTGATTGTGCTGCTGTTGCATTTTGATTTTCTGAAATCAAAATGCTGAAATGCTCGTCAGTGACAATTCACTACTGTATTCTTACCGAGTGTTCAGAATAATCAGTTATGTATGAAAATAAATAGCAGTTCAAATAATTTAATAGTTTTTCACCGCAGATTTGGTCCATCAGCCAAAACCACAATTAAGTTGTGTTAAATTTACCTAGACAAGTTCTTAATCCGCATGTTTTTTGACAAGAATTCTTCGCTTTATCATCGAGGCAAATTACCGGCGCTAGAGCTGTGCAAACTGCATCGTCAAGTGTGTTTGGGCAGATGCCACCTGCTCCTGGTTGGTCACAAAGTCCACATTTCATTGGACAACTCGTTAATGCGATTGTCCTGAGAGCCGGATTCCTGCACATCTCCAGTGTAAAGGTGTCACAGAGACTGCCTGCCGATGGATCTATAATGAATGAAGCAAATATTTATTAATATTTTGTGAAATATTAATAAAAATTTATAATAGAATATCGAAAAATTTATGGACCATTAGCACAGTTGAATTGTTTTGCTTTACAGCAGAATGCGCAACGACTTGGGCAATTCTTTTCTGCAAACGCTTTGAGAGGAGGTTGTGTGCATTGATCGGGTATCAGATAAGACGCGCCTCTAAATTACTAAGAATTATTGATACATTCTATGAAAATTATTTTTCATGTATTAAAAAATATAATTCATTAAAGAATTTATCAGTACACATGGAAAAAACGAAATCTTACGGATTGGCATGAGATGCGATCGCTACTGCTGCATCAGTGTATGGAAATATAGCAGCACACGCTGGTAAATCGATGTGTGCACAAAGGCCTGGTTCGACCGTTGGTCGCTGAAAAGCTCCTACGGCTTTATTACATTCTGCTATCGGATTATCTCCGCTTTTCACGCCAGTAATAAGGGAAATGAAGAAAAAAGAATACAACAACATTTCAGGAAAAAAGTTTTAGAATTAAATTTTGGCGTATCATGCATGCTTTTATATCCATTTTATTTCCTTTTTTAGAAGTGTGTAGGTAGATTATCGTTTATCAAAATCTATTACGTCTGCCAGTACGAATATTTATTCATCTGCAACTACTAATCTGTACCGATGCATTAAATAGTTTTTGTTTGTTTTTTAATAGTTTTTAACTTATCAATTATTTGCTTACTTTTTTTAAACTGATAATACCAAAATGTATTATGCACCGCCTCCAAGCAAAATTCATAAAATTCTTGTTTGGATAATTCTTATGATTATTTCATTCGTAGTGGAAATTATTCCGAGAACCACAAACCTTGCTTTTCCTCAATTCCTTTAAGGATTTTTCTATCAAATTGCTGAAAATATTGTTGGATTTTTGACTTTATGGATGCTTTCATTATTCTTCCTGCTTATTCTTAAATTCCTTTTATTATGTTCATAAATAAAAATGAATTGGTGAATTAAAAAATGTTTGTAAATGAGAATACAATTTTTCAACTATTCACATGAACTTTTCCAGTAGTTCTTTAAATTTATTTTTAAAGTGGCAAATCTATGGTAGAAAATTCGTCTTGTAATAATTTAAATATGTGAGATCAAAAATTTTACAGTCAACTCGGATATATAAAATAACAATAAAGATTTTACTGGAAGCGATTTTTTATTGAATAGATCCCGAATAAGATGTCTCAAACAGGTTTTTATGGTACTTTTTATTTCTCTTTATATATTTTATATTTTTATGTTTTTTTTCAGACTGACAAAAAACTAAAATTATTCTCTGATATGGTTTTTCATTTTATTTTAATGTTCTTCGATAATATTCCAACATATTTTAATAATCTCTTTCAAGTTATTTTTCTGAAATTGTCGCTATTTCATTTCTTCCTAATGGCGAGTTCGAGCAATGCTGGATATTCGCTCCGCTGCTCACAGGCGTTTCTTTGGATGCGATGCTTTATATTTTCAGTGATTCCCCAATAATCGACGAAGACATTCAAATAGGCTAATAGAGTTTTGAGAAAATTGAGAAGAACTAAAATTTGCTTAGCTTATTGGGCTAATCTGAAGAATCGAATAAAACAATACTAGATTAGATGATGTGTAACAATAATTGAATTTCCACGATTGACAAATGTCTTTTGGGAAAATCTTTTCTTTATCATGGAAAATTTATATAAGCTAAAAAAACACCTGTAGAGACCACTGTAGAAATATGCCTGATGAAACAGAATGCGTTGAGCATTAGATATTTTAGATTAAACAACGAATCACAGGCAATAAGAAATATAGATCGTGATAGCGACCTAGATAATTCGCCAGTAAAAGTAGTTTCCAGACAATTATTTCTAATACTTGCTAGGAGCCTGCATAATTTCTGATTTAACTCGTTCCACTGGCAAGATTTTTCAAAAGTCCGATACGAATCCAGAAAATTGAAGCCACTTTTTCTATGCCCGTGCTGCCGAGGCTCTTTCTCTCATACCATTCCAAATCTTGGTTGCTTCTTCATGCCATCCATCACAGGTTCAAAGTAGTGAGATATGCGTGAATTCCTGTTTTGGGCGTCGAAAAACATGGCCAAACCTGCCAATATTCGTAAAGGCGGTATTCCATCAAAGGTGAATGCAGTCATGTGAAACTTTGCTCACTAGGCTGGTGTATCTTAAGCAGAAGTAGCTTACTTTTCTTCCACTCTCTTTGGCCAAATTTCGAAGTCTCATAGCAAGATTATGCACTAAGATTATACTCAGCAAGAGCGATACAACGTTTTGTTTTCGGGCTGATTTCGAAACAATTCCAGCGAGGTTTCACTAGATCGCAATTTTTTCGTTAAATGCACAATAAGAAAAACATAATTAAAATAAAAATCGCGAATACGTCTACGATTTATGATTTTCACAATTTGTAAATCGAGTTTTATGAAATTGTGAAATTATGAATGAAATTATTCAGCAAAAAGTTAATGAAAATGAAAATTTTTATTTTCTTCTATTAAATATGCGCTGCGGTCGTTTTTTACATTTCAGAAAATTAAAATGCAATATCAGAGCGATCAGATTATCGAGGCAGTGATCAAAAGTGATAAAAAAAATTATAAATACACGCAATGGAACCTTGAAAGGATATAAAACCCCTGCGGGCTTGATGAGATAAAATTAAAAGTACTTTATTTGACAGTTTTCGCAATATTTCTTGCAGCAATATAGCTTTGAACATAGGTTGAGATATTCGAGCTTCTATTTAATTTTTGTAAAAATTAAAATGCGATTAGTGAGATAAAACTTTAACTTGATAAATATCGTTGTTTTATCAATAAATTTGCACCATAGTAAGCTCTTTAAGTAAATCAATTTGCTGTTCATTTGATAATCATTTCGAAAGAAGCGAAAAAATAGGGAAACTAATCAGAATTACTCATAAATTAATCCATAAAAAAATAAATTATTGCGATGGCGTCAAGTCGAACGGCATGGAGACGTCTCATCCTTGCATGCAGTGGAACCAGCCTAACCATTAATGATGAGAGTTGCTAGAAGAAGAAAGAAATTAAATTAGCAAAACAATGCTAATATTTACCAAACGCTTATTCAGCTTTACAAAGGTGCTAGGAACTTTCTTGTTTATCTATAATATTATATAGTAAATGTTATTACCATCGTAATTCAAAACAGAATACCGGCCATTTTTTTTACTTCAAATTTTTTTTCTATTTTCCTGCAAGAAATCATTTTTTATTCATTTTTATTCATTTTCTAACTATCTTCAATTATAATAGCACAGTTGGGAATGAATGGCTCAGTGGATTGCTGCTCAGTTCGGAGAGCCGATGCTGGGGTTCTATTCTCTGCGGGAGTAAATCTGTCGAAAAATCCGGGTGATGCTGGCGACTTATATTTACTTCTATTGCCAAGTGACTCCATGTCCAGTGCGACAAGTCAGAGTAGCGAGTTCAACCAAGTTATAGTGAGTACTGAAAAAAAAAAAAAAATTAACACAGCGAAATTCATATTCAATTCATCTTCATCAACTATTTCGGCTAAAATTTCTTCTATAATATATTGCTATAAAACGCTAGGAAAGAAATTTGGAACATTATGGCTCTTTCAGAAATAGAAATTTAACAAAAAATTTCAAATTTTTTTAAGTAATCAAATTTCCTTTTAAAGATTATTAATCATCTTTAATCATCTTATCATCTTATCTTATTAATCATCTTTTAAAAGTTTTACTTTATTAACCAATCTTTTTCACTAAAAAATAGTTATAGAAAAGGTAAAATAATTCGAAAAAGTCAAATAATGCGCCATATTGCGAAAAGAATTTTTAATCATTTAATTATATTTGATTATATTCGTAAAATAACTTTTTTAATTTTTCATAATTTAACATTAATCAAATTATATTAAGTTTTTTTATGGAAAATGGCCACAAGTTAGCAGCATTTACCTCTCATTACAGTTTTCTATTTTCTGAAAATTGCTGGTCGTCGTCGCGACAATTTGATTGTGCTGCTGTTGCATTTCGATTTTCTGAAACGCAAAATCGTCAGCGACTTAGCAGTTCAAATAACTGAATATATTTTTATAGCAGATTTGGTCCATTGGCCAAAACCACACTTAATTAACGTTAAATTTACCTAGGCAAGTCCTTAATCCACATGTTTTTTGACAAGAATTCTTCGCTTTCTCATCGGCGCTAGGGTTATGCAAACTGCATCTTCCACCTGCTCCTGGTTAATCACAAAGCACGCATTAATGCTATAGTAGTGAGAGATGCATTCCTGCACATCTCCAATGTAAAAGCATCACAATGATTGTCTGCCGATGGATCTATAATGAATCAAGTGAATTTTTTTATTTTGTTAAATATTAATAAAAATTTATATTAGAATTTCGAAAAATTTATTTACCATTAGCCCAGTTGAATTGTTTTACAGCAGAATGCGCAACGATTTGGACAATTCTTTTTGGCAAACGCTTTGAGAGGAGCTTTTTTGAAAGGTGTGTGGGTATATATGGTTTATCGAAATCTATTGCATAAGAATTGTCATTTATTCATCTGCTTGAAGCGATTCATGCCGATAAGTATTGTTGAATTGATAATATCAAAATTCTTTAAATAAGTACTTTAAATAACTTAAAATCTATGCAATTCGTTATTTGAAGGAACTGTGGTACCACAAGTAAAATAAAAAATCAGCTTAAGACAGTAAAACCAATAATATTTGCATGATAAACTC